CAAAACTATAAAGGATCTGAGGATCCTTAATAAGTAAGTATTCAAATACTTTAGAATGTATTCGAATACTTTCAAAAGTATTCTAATACTATCAAAGGTATTCGAATACTATAAAAAGTATTCGAATACAGTAAAAAGTATTCAAATACTTGTCACTCAAATATATTAAAAATTTAAAAATAAAGTTTCTTATAGAATGTGGCCTGTAGAATCCATAATTTCAAACAGTTCCAAGATTGGGCTACTGATTCGAAAGTTACAGCCCTTTGAATTTTCTTTCGAAATTGGTTTCTAGTCTATAACTTTTGATTGAGAAGTCTGATCGAAAAAGTACGAATTGTTTTTGATTCTACGCACCAAAATTAATAAGAAAAAGTGTTTTCCCGAGAAATTTTGGTGCAGTCGATTTTTGGTAAAAAAGGAAGGTTATACACTGCCTTTTTTTGAGGCCCGAAAAAAAATTGTCTCAGATCGACCCGGAAAAAAAATTTTCTTATAGAATGTGGCCTGTAGAATCCATAATTTCAAACAGTTCCAAGATTGGGCTACTAGATCAAAAGTTACAGCCTTTTGAATTTTCTTTCGAAATTGGTTTCTAGTCCATAACTTTTGATTAAGAAGTCTAATCGAATCGTTTTGGATTATATGCACCAAAATTAATAAGAAAAATTGTTTTCCCGAGAAATGTTGGAGTAGTCAATTTTTGGTAAAAAAAGGAAGGTTAAGTATTCAAATACTATGCGAAGTATTCGAATACTAAATATTCGTGAAAGTATTTGAGATACAAATACAAATACTGCTTCCATAAAAGTATTTAATTACAAAGTATTTGAATACTTTAAAGGATTTGAATACTAAAAAGTATTTACAAAATCGAATACTGCCCAGCTCTGAATAATGACTATTTCGTACTTTTGTCTGCATGAATCACGTTGGCGACAACGTCTGATAATGTATTTACCAACTTACTTGTCGGCTGATTTCAGAACAATTCAAACGTTTTAGCCTTTTCTTAGATTAAATTATTGTGTTATCAGTAACCATTGTTGATATTTTAAAGCTGCATGGAAAAATTATATAATGGCCTTCTTAGTTTTGAAATCTCTTAGCAAAACAACAACAAAAAAGTATAGTGGATATAAAATTAACCCTCTTTTAAATTAGATGATTTAACACTCTCATTTATACATCTGCGTGTAGTAGGTAGGTATATAAGTAAAGTTGTACGAATGTAGCAATTCTACATCGCCGATAATTACATTCTATATAGGCAGAACAAGATTAACGATGTTTCCCGGCGCTGATATTAAGTACACTTCATCCCCTAAAAGCGCAAAGCGTCAATACTGCTATCCCTTACAATATAATTGTCGCGTCGTATTCTAAGAAGGACAAAGTACACGAAGATTGTTAAAATACGAAGTTAAAAGTTTTACAGACGTCTGTCAGAATCTGGGGAAACGCCATCGAAGCCCAAAACAGTTGAGCTGTTTTTGCATGCGGAATTCTGCAATTTGTGCGTGGTTTGTGCTGCTGATTGATAGTTTTGCTTGTCACCGTGAAAACGATATAGAGAAATTTCCATTAATTTCCGTCCAAACTTTGTTTTATTAACGTTTCGATGTTTTTCAACGACTTCAATTATTTTAACTCAAGTTGATAGAATATACCTGTAACGCTTACTTTATTATAATTGTACGTATACTAATGCATTGTACAAAATGCATACACGTGTACATACTACGTATTAACCCACTTAATTAAATTAAATTAAACAATTTGCTAGAAATCGATTGTTGAAGGTTTGAAATTGCAGTAGATCTATCAAAAAGACGTGATACAACCTCTAATAACTATGGAATTCCGTTATATCTTTTAATAACTGATCCATTTCAGTGAAAAAAGTTAAATTGTATACAATTAAGTAGTATAGATGAACTAAAATTGGGTTTTCGTTAACAATAACGATATTGTTGAAATAGGTAGATAATTATTGTATACACCGTGTCCAAGATAAGGATGTCTGTCATGGCGATCTCCGAAACTATACAAGATACGACGATGGCCAAATTAGAGAAAAGATACGCAATTAAGAAGTTAATCAGCCTTCTGATATATCAGAAAAGTCAAACTTAACGTACAGGTCTGCCGAAAATTTTGCGTTATTTAGTATGGACAAACTGACGTTTTCTACAAATAGCCGCGTTAACTTTAACGTTAGTGATATATTACAGGGCTGCATGCTTTAAAGAAAACCAAACAAATCCAAATACTGCCAAATATCCCAGAAAAACCGAAGTTTGCCGTTTCGATTTTATTTTTTTTCTGATGTTTTTTGAACAGATACAACAACAACAAAAAGGCAGACTTATCAATTCAATATATTTAGTTTGCATCCTAATGTTGGATTCAGGTAGAGTTATATTTTTCTGTTAGGTTTTTCCCTGGGTTTTTCTAACTTCTTTTTATCCTAATGTTAATTTCAATTCACAATTTGAGTATTGATTTCATTGGTTTGCGGCCTTTGGATCGTTCAAGTTTATAAGAGTTTTAAGCCATGTTAGGATTTTTCATTCATGCCTTCAGAAAATTTTAAACATTTCAAAAAGCTAGGTAGGTGGTTGAGTTGACCGCATATCATTGCACAGGGGTGTTTTTTTTAGGACCCTACATAACACTTCACCAGACACAGACACAGATACTAATCGTTACTTGATTTTAATCCGTGCGATTAGTTAACCAGGCTAGACCTGAGTTCAAGAAACACCGACCATAATAATAAATGACTTTAATAGACAATTTCTATACAGAGCCTGTCTAAATGGCGGAGTTCAGACAGGGATATCATCCGTGTCTGCTGTTCCTATATAATACAAGAATATTTTAATAGCGACCTCAGTCAATAATATTATAACTTGTGTATGTATATATGCGAGAACGTTGTAAAATTTGACACTCCTATGCTCGTGTTTAAGAATCTAAAGGAATAAAAAATTATTATTATTATTAATAGTATGTAAACAATGTCGGGTTGGACGCTGAGGTTTAGGTCCAGTCGCCTAAAGTGAATACGGGCCGTTCAATTACTAATCAAATGTTCATATCAATTCGTTTAATTAATCTTGTTGTATTCCATACGGTTAAACATAAAACTATTTTGCGTATCTATCCTGTATCCACGGTGTTTGTTTAGTTTGAAAAAAAGATTAGTTCCTAGAATTATTAAGGATAGGAAAATGCAATCGCATTTTTCCTTATCAATTTGTTTTGTTAATTCATGTATGTGACAATTTAGATTTAATTTATTTGGTATTTCGTTTATGGATGTAATTACTTATCAAGAGATAATGATGCCTTTTAATCGGAAAAAAAACGTTGTTTTCGTAGAAAATGTATTTTAGATAAGATAATTCCTGGCAAAGTTTACCTACACCCCACAAGTATTCCTGAAAATATTTTTAGGTTTTGCGGTTTCTAGTAGGTACCACAAAATTCTACTATAATACATTATCTCTACCATTCTCAGCCATTTGGGCACTATCTCCCGCCTATAGAAGATTACCTCACTTTGTATATTACCATAGAGTAATCTATTATATTACTTAGGTAGAGTAATAAAGCACTTTCTATTAGCGAATGTTGCAAACCCGTGTTGCATACGTTTGCTTTGCTGTACTTATTAAAAACAAAGATAAATGGGTTCCTCATTTCTCATGTGAATGCTAGACTTAGTCGGACATGGATTAGTTGGGCAATGGACAACAAGGAAAAAACATCACTGTAACTAACATTCCACCGCAACGAAGAATATGAAATTATAAAAGACACTTTTTGAGGTTTCAACATTATCACAGGGAAGATTTTAAAATTATACTGTAGCCAATACCCCAGGAATTCCGATGGATATCGAGGCGCCATGAAAGATTAGTCATCGGCGATAAGGAACAAGGCGGTTGTGATGCAATCTTTCTGGGAATTATGACGTGTTTTCGTTTAGAATGTTCGAGAACATTAGCAAGCACTCGAGAACACTCAAATTTGTTATTTAAGCAAATCGAATAATTGCGTTTCAGTTCAGTTCCAATTTCAATGCCGAAATAATAAATCGTTCGCGTTTAGCGTACGTAGAAGAAAATCCAACTAAATCATTTAAAAAATATTTAAAAAAATGTTTTAAAATAATCTTTTTTTTAAGGGTAACGCCGAGGTCTGTTAGGGTGCCATATTTTAGAAAAGAAAAAAGGAAATAAATTTTCCTCGCGTAATTGCCTAGATATTAAGTTTACGAACTTCTCTCAATTTTGGAAATTGTTCCAACTTCATTTATAGATAAGTTATCTTGGAAAAACAACTTAAAAGTTTTCCTCAAAAGCGCGAAAAGATAGCTTCCGCCGCGTGGCTGGTTTTATACAGATATAAAATGTGCATTATCTTTCTGCCATCGAACACAAATTAATATTATAAATAACCAAATTTGGGGATTGACTATAGGCAACTTTACATACTCCGTTCTGTATGTACTGTCTAGCCTTACGAACGGAACATGGAGATTTTGTAACTAAAACTTCTCACAGACGCTTTAAATCTCGGAAAAAAATTAATCAACTTTAGTTATATCAAAGAATAATTATTAGTTACTTTTTGCTTACCTATATTTAAATATGTACTTGATTTTCATATATGGTATTTACACAACTATTACAAAGTTCATCAGCCAGACAAATTGGAAGGACTGTCCAGACATAAAATAGTCAGCCAACAGTATGAACACGAGAGATTAATTATGTATACGTTTTAGAGCTAAATACCAACCGACTTCGATTTTCATTCTAACCAGGTCCCGCATAGATTACTGTGAAACACCATGTATATAAAATCATAGATTATATAACTTACATCGCCATCTATTAGGTGTTTGTTTAGTATCATGATATTTGTATGAAATCTAACCTTAATTTTTAATCAAAACTGCAAAGCATACGTTAAATTTTTGATTTTAGAATGACGACCCTATTGGAGTTTTGTCAAAGATTACCAAAAATTGTGAGTGGTCTCTCCAAAGAACCCATTTAATTTCATAACTTTTAGGAGCTGCACGCTCATTTAAATGGTTCTTTAAGTGAACGAACTTTGAGGATTTTAAACGTTTCCGAACATAACATAAATTTATATCAATTGTTACATAAACAGAGCAACGCCGAGGAAAGATTACGTTTGGCGTTCTCTCTGTTTAAAGTAGCTCACGATGCAACCAATACAATTGACGCAGTATGCACCGCAACTAAACATGTAATTGAAGAATATTACCGAGACAATGTTATTTATCTAGAACTACGTACAACACCTAGAGAAGAAAGTGCTATGAGTCGAAAAGAGTACATAGAAGCCGTTATTAAAGCTATCACCGACCAAAATTTAGTTGTTGTCAAATTATTGTTGTCAATTAACCGTACGCACAGCCTGGACGAATCAAATGAAAGCTTGGAGACCATTCTAGAAATGCACAAACTGTACCCTAATATCATAAAGGGACTCGATCTGAGTGGCAGTCCGTACTCGGGTCACTTTTATAAAGACATGTTTGAAAGAGCTCGCCAGCAGAAGTTAAAAATTACTTTACACTGTGCCGAAATTGTCAATAACGAAGAAGTGAATACAATTTTGCAGTTTAAACCTGATCGCATTGGACATGGCACCACTTTACATACGAAATATGGAGGCTCGCAGACAAATTGGGAGTTGTACAATAACTTAAAAATTCCATTAGGTTTGTAATGTGTCTTTTTACAAGATGATAGATGACATTGTTATAGAATGCTGCCTCACCTCCAATGTTCTCTCTGGTACAGTGAAAAGTTTTAAAGAGCACCATGTAGCGGAGTGGATTAAGCACGAGTTGCCTTTCAGTATTAATGTAACAAACTGTTAATTAAGTTCCTTTGTAATTGAATTGCCTTTCAGACTGATGATAAAGGAATATTTTCTACAAATTTATCGAATGAGTATTATCTAATGGGAGAAGCGTTTAATCTTTCAAAAGAGTATATATTCAATTGTAATTACAAAGCGATTGATTATTCGTTTGCAAGCGACGAGGAGAAGGAGCAAATAAAGGGAATACTAACACAATGGAAAAGCGCTCAGTATACATTGTTTTAGTTAGAACTTGTAAAATAAATGTTAAAAAATTTATGTTTATCTCTTTTTTATTGTATTTACATATTTGCATGAATGTGTTTAGATTCTGCACGAGCTTGCGCTACTATCCAACAATGTAAAGAGGATGCGAGTGACCTTTTATTTAAAATTAATGTAGACAAACAAACAAATTGCCTTTTTTTTGATTGAGAAGTATAATCGAAAAAGTACAAATTGTTTTGGATTCTACGCACCAAAATTAATAAGAAAAAGTGTTTTCCCGAGAAATTTTGGTGTAGTAGATTTTTGGTAAAAAAGGAAGGTTACCTATACACTGCTTTTTTTTGAGGCCCGAAAAAAAATTGTCTCAGATCGACCCGTAAAAATTTTCTTATAGAATGTGGCCTGTAGATCCCATAATTTCAAACAGTTCCAAGATTGGGCTACTAGTTCAAAAGTTACAGCCCTTTGAATTTTCTTTCGAAATTGGTTTAGACTCTATACAGTCAAATAAATCCCTAAATCCTTTACTGAAAATGACAACGTCTGAAAATGTTGATTTTTTATTACATAAAATTATAAAAATATCACTTTAAATCACATGAACTTTTGGTAACATATTTTACAGGTACACCCAATAATATAAAACAACATACAGTAAATTTTTAACAGATCACAGTTGCAATAAATATATCAAACATCAACTTCTATATCCCTTCTTCCACACTGTATCTTTCAAATAGGCCAACTGATTGCTGAAAAGTAATTCTTCTACTAAATCAGTAAAACCTAGTTCGCTAGCAATTCGATATTTGACCCGGACGGAAGAACAACGATTTATCATTTCTCTCATATTTCTAATAGCTGATCCATTTGGTTTAGTTAGGGCGAGAAATTTTCTTGAAATATCATGAAGGAGTGCGTCGGAAAGGGGAAATGACAACAGAAAACTATCCAAGTAGGCGATGTTGTTTCGCATAATATATTGCTCAAATATCACTGATGACCAGTCGGGTTTATAGTTATTTGAGTCAATGAGGATCAGCGATTGGTCAAAGCTGCAATTTTACTTTGTTATTGATTATATCATGTAACGATACAAACCTTAGCTCTGTGGAAATCAAGTTCAAAATTTGGTCATCTCCAATATTGAGAATGCAAATTGCAGTACTGTTGGCAGGTAATCCTTTCAGCATGGACATTTGCAAAGCTAATAGTTCGGCCACTTTCGCCGCTTGCATGGCTTTTGTAAGTTTTTCACCTTGTAGATGATATTCGGCAGCGTGCGTGTAATTCACCATGGCTTTGTTTAAACAAATTTTCGTGCCGTCTGTATTTGTTAAAAGTACGAAAGGTACAGCTTCAATGTTAATTCCATTGTTTTGCATTTCCAATTTCGATATTGCGATCAAATTTCGCGTAATACTTCTCGCTTCCTCCTGCCACAGTTGAGCAATTTCGGAGAACAAAGTGAAGTGTAAGGCAACCATTCGATACAGCTCGCGATCTTCGGGGCAATACTTCTTCAAATATCTTAAAAGAGCAACTTTGAGGCTGTTGTCTTTATTGTTACCTTTGCGCAGTAAAAATTCAAACTGGTCATTTTCGCGTAGGATGTGAAAGACGTAATTCATTTCGGTATATCTCGCCACCCCCGTCAGTAACCGAACAATGCATTTCCAATTTTTCAATTGCAAAGACAACAGAATTATAGTTTGACATTTTCGTAAGATAATCGAGATTCCTTCCATGTTGCAATCTGCTGTAAAGCAATCGTGGGCTCGAATCAATAACTCAATTATTACATTAAGCTCTAGGTAGTCAAGCGGCTTTAATTCTGATCTGTGTAGGGCACTAGCGTACGAATAAAGTTTGAGTCCAAGTGCAGAGCAATTTTCAATTAAAAGTTGGAGTATTACACTAAAATCGGTGTCAAGAGTGAGATTCCATAATATCACAGTGTCGCTATTTAACTTTATATGTTCGGTGATGGCATCAATTAGTTGCTCACTTATAAAATCGGCCACCTACAATAATTAAAAAATACACCACTGTAGGCCCAAAAAATATGTTTAATTTTTGTTTATATCCGCATTGTAATTTGTTTATTTTGTCTATTGTAAAGAAATTACGTGTTATGAGATGAGGAACATTTGGAAATTATTTGCGTAATATTTGAAAAGTTTATCTCATGTTTTTCTCTGGTCATGGATAAGAGATGCGCTTATCGTTAAGTTAATTAATTTTTAAACAATATTTTCACAACGGTTAAACAAATACAACGAAATTTCATCCAACGAGAAAATAAAAAAGGTCTATCTAGATTTAAGTAAGAAATAATAGATACTTTGGATTCTAGGTTGTATCAATTTTTGGGGATGGTGGTGCTTCGAGATAAGATGAGTTTCGTAGAACGTGTCTAGGAGAGTTACTGGTAGTAAGAATATGAAGGAAAACATGTCTGCGTATTCCAACGTGAACATAAAAAAGGGATATTTATAAACTTGCAACATCAACACCGAAAGACAGGGGACTTACGGATTAAAATCTGCGATTATACATACCTGCTACTGTAACTCCCTTATGTTTCTTCATATGGTCATAGAACAATGATTAAATAATGATTCGTTCTAATATTTTACAGGAAAAAGCAGTTTATTTTATGATTAAAGTTTGTATTTAGGAGTTTTAGGATTTCTATGGCGGGGAATGTCCAAGATTTTAAACAACAAAGTACACAAACCCCGAAAATTGGGGCTGATACTTACCTTATCACTAGTCCAGCGAAACAACGACATTACATCATGAACAACCTCCAATTTGTTAGGACAGTCCTCTTTCAAAGCTTCCTTGAGCAAACTAACAGAATCACTACATTTAAATACTTCTTGATATGATTTTTCGATGTTTATAGCAATTCTGTAGGTTTCAAGGATACTTTGAATGATTTTGTTTCCACTCTGTAGGCGTTCTTGTAAGGTTTCTAAGATAACCAATGTATCGTGAAAGGGAACATCAACGTGATCTACCATAGTTGCTATACTCGAAGCCATAGGACTAAGGGACGCTGCAACAATTATAGTTGAGTACGAAACGAAATAAACCACAGAATACCTGAACTGAAGCTCGACAATCCTTTACTAGACATGAGCGCCCTTCGTCGACGATGACCGAGTGTCCGGACATTGGTGTGTTTTACCAACAGTAATCTTTGCTCTGCAGATAACTGGTACGGCATTATCAAACCTTCTACCAAATTGCAGGAGAGCTCGATTATATCCACGTCACTATGTTTGTAATTAAAAATTTTTGTAAGCCTAAATGCTTGCCAAAAGTCCCCCAAATTTAAAAATGTTTCAATTGTACTATTTAAGCGAGAAATGCCACTTTCGTTTAAATCAGGCACGCCGTCATTCTCCAGAACCGACAAGATCTGTTTCATTTCCGTGTACAACATCAAATTCCTCGGCAAATTACGAACCTTGCACTCACCCTTGCCCTCCATTTGAAAGTACGCGATCCACATCTTCGTTTCCAAGTCGTACACATTAGCTAAATTTCTCATACTGGCCCAGTCATGAGCCAAATCTAATATGACGTATTTTTCTGCCATATTACTGGTATCTTCGCAACACTGCTCGAAAAATTTTACAGCCGCATTTTCGTCTAAGTGGTGGTCGTGAAAAGCTGCATTGCAATCTTCCCAAAATTGCTTATTGTCACAACGCTCTTTAAACCTATAGCACCATTCGTCAATTACAATAAAATCTGTGCATATCTTCTGGAGCTGAGCAATTTGAGATGCGTGACGGTACGATCGTGTAGCTACAAGCTTGGACACTACCGCTAGCAATTCTTCGTGAATCTCCTCACTTTGAAAAGTGGAACATAAATCGAGTTTTATATCGTAACTACTGTCGATTATCCAATTTAGTATCTGATAATATTTTGAAAAATCCGGCACATCCGCGCCAAAGTACTTGCCAACGCCGACATCGTGCAGAAATTTCATGCAAGTCAGCTGATGGAATTGAGATGTAAAATTGTACTGTAGAGTTGCAGCGAGCAAGTTAAGTGCGGTTGTTTCGATCCACATCTTATTTGACAAGTACACCATTTCATAATCAACTTGCGCAAAGGGCGCACTAATTTTTCTCTTCTTCACTTCGCTAAAAAACCGATTTAATTTCTTCTCTTGGTTGGGTACGTCAAAATTGAGATCGATACAATCGCATAAAAACTCGACAAATACGCAAAGAGGGTTATCCTGTAAACATATTCATGTACATGTTAAATTTGTGTCATCGTTTCCGTACCGGTAAAAAAATTTGGAAACTGTCATGCAGCACTCGACAATAGCCCATTTTAACGGTGGATGTTAATAGAGCGCTGACTATGTTTGCGTCGTTCGTAGCCATCTCGAAGTTAGATATTTCACCGTCCAATCCGCAGGATACAGTTAGCCACATTAACCAATGCGTAAGAAATGAGTCTGGCTAAAAAAGGACAAGTGTTTCAATTTATGTAGATATAGTGTTGGGAACCTGAAGTCATAAACTGTTGTGGTTCTAAAATTTCCACTGCAACAGGATCGGTATAACACCAAATTAAGATCTTCAAATGTTAAGAGCAGTAGACGCAAAAAAAATTGCGTGACGTTTATGAAAATCTCTTAACACTAACCGCCGTTTTTCTTGGCGGCACAGATATCAACTAGAATATTATTTGGTTTTACTAACAGTTTTCTTTGTTGTAATTTCGTTTTACACATAAACTTAAAATCAACTTCTTTTTATTTTATTCCACTGACAATACGCGATACAGTTTTTTAAGGAATTTGCTGATGAAGGCGTTTATCTACACGAATGATGTTCTTTACTAACTGAATCACTACGATGACGAGTTTTTGCAACTTCGCAAAAAACTTAACACAAATAATTGCTCTCGTTACAATATGGTGTTCCGTTAAATATTGGTGCAATGAAAAAAAGTAACTGGTTCGCGAAGGTTGGAAAGGAGTGTGCGTCTCTTTACGCTATTTTTTAATTCGGGTATTAAATGAAGGCGCAGTTTGTTGTTTATTATAATAATTCTGTACGGAAGAAAGTTAACTGAAGTTGTTTAAAAGTTGCGAGAAGTTTAAAGCGTGTTGTCCGTTTTACGGGTAAAGTTAGTCCAACGTGAAGTTCTCTTGTGGTTAAAAATTAAAAGTTATTCGTATTCAACATGCCTGTTTGTCATCAAGTTTGTATGTTAAAGAAATGTGAAGTTCTGAAGCTGTGAGCGGTTGTACCGAGTTAAGTGCACTTGTTTATAGCAAACCTGTTTACGACTGTAAGTAATTTTAAGATTGCTTATTTTCACTATCTACCGCTTGCGTGCGAGGTAATATGTCCAAACAGGTTGTGTAGCCTTTCTTTCTTCAAAAAATTTTGTTTTAATTTCCCTTTTACGTGTATCGGAATAAATTTTTTTTACTCGTATTGTCAATCAATTAATTGTGTGATTCCATTGTGCGACCCGCATAGTCTTTATCTCAGATTTTTGTCTTCGTATCCAATATTTATTGCTGGTGTTGATCAATAAATAATTTTGGAATTTCGGACTGAATTGAGGCTAGTGAGTCTCCCAAATTATTAATTTCAGTTTAAATTGGGATTTTTATTTTGAGCTAGTTGGACACTGGACAGGTGTTTTGTGGGTGGTGTAGTTGACCTCATACGAATACACACTGCAGTATGTACAGGGTGGCCAAATAAGAATGCGAGGTACTGTATCTGGGAACCTGTCCATCGTAGAGGCTTGCGGTAAAAAAATTTATTACTAAAACGGCCACGAGAAAAACCTGGAAAATATTTTTAAGTTTCTGCAATGGCCGCTAGGGGGCGTAACTGCAATCTGGAATCTAAAAAAGTGATTTTTCTGTGAATTCCGCTATATTAACCTAACAAAAAAATGTCCGGTCTTTGAAGTTGACGATAATCTGAACCTTTTTTGTTTGACAATTTTTCCTGTATCTCTAAAAATGAAGTGGTGGGGGGTATTCAAAGGTTTCCGTAAAGAACACCCTGTATCTTCGAAACGACTGAGCCGATTTTAACAAACTCGGGTTAATTGAAAAGAGTTATTCTTCGGCTACAAATATTATACTATTTGAAGTTTTGTTAGTTTCACATATCGCCGCTTGAGGGCTTTTTTCGACATTCCGACAGAAATGGTTAATTTTCTCAAAAAAATTAAATGCGTTGGTTCGATTTTTTTTTAAATGAAAAAGTAGCTAAATGATGCCTAAACAAGCTCGCGAAAACCGCATCTCGATATCTTGTTCCTAACCTAAAATTTAGGCCAAAGAAAATTTTATACCCTCAAAATTTTATTTTTTTAAGCTAATTTTTCCGGAATTATTTTTATTATATAATTTGTGGCCCTAAGGTGGATCGATTTAAAAAAGGAAGCTTTTAATGCCGCCGTAAATGCTCGAAATGCTGGCCATCACGATATAAAAATATATATATATATATCTCAAGATATATGCTGTTTTCGCGAACTTGTTTAGGCATCATTTAGCTACTTTTTCATGAAAAAAAAATCGAACCAATGCATTTAATTTTTTTGAGAAAATTAACCATTTCTGTCAGAATGTCGAAAAAAGCCCTCAAGCGGCGATATGTGAAACTAACAAAACTTCAAATAGTATAATATTTGTAGCTGAAGAATAGCTCTTTTGAACTAACCCGATTTTGTTTCAATCGGCTCAGCCGTTGCGAAGATACAGGGTGTTCTTTACGGAAACCTTTGAATACCCCCCACCAGTTCATTTTTAGAGATACAGGAAAAATTGTCAAACAAAAATTGTTCAGATTATCGTCAACTTCAAAGACCGGACATTTTTTTGTTAGGTTAATATAGCGGAATTCACAGAAACATCACATTTTTAAATTCCAGATTGCAGTTACGCCCCCTAGCGGTCATTTCAGAAACTTAAAAATATTTTCCAGGTTTTACTCGTGGCCGGTTTAGTAATAAATTTTTTTACCGCAAGCCTCTATGATGGATAGATTCTCAGATACAGTACCTCGCACTCTTAGTTGGCCACCCTGTACATACGTACATTGGCAATTTTCCGAGAGAACCGCTCGACGGATTTTATTCAAATTTTGAATATGGATATTAAGGCACACGGAAACGAAAAATAACAGGCCAGATTTTTGGAAAAAAATGTTGGGACACCGCAACAGCATCGAACTTTTTTTTTCAAATTGCAACGTAAAATTAAAATTATTAATTTAAAAAGATTACACTTCGTTTTTGTCCAAGTATAACAAAGGCATGGAATATAAGATACTCTTGAGGCAAGGATTTTTGCCTAGAAAAGATATCAGTTTCAGGGGATGATTTATTGGGGTTTAATTGCAGCTGCCTGCGAGACGAATTGGGGTGTATCGCAACTAATTAAGTATATACAGGATGCCCCATTTATCTTGAGACAGTAGATTATTGAGGAAACTGGCGAGGATATCGAAAAATGCTTCATATATCATGCCATGCACGTTTTCACACTGTTTCGCACTTTCAAGTGCAGGGCAACTAATTTTTTCAAACAGAACCCTTATACTTCTTATTGCATATTATTTCTCGAGGTTATTCTACATCGAAAAATAATAAACTTTCATGGGAAACGTTTCTTCCCCACACTTACCATTGTTTGAAGACACTCTTCCCTAAAGCGCGATTTTTAGTTTGAGCTAGGAAGCTAGGAAGAATTTTGCACATTTTTCAATATGAAAATAATGAAGAATGTATAAACAAACAATTTAATGTGTACATTAGCAAAAATGTTGTATACGCTTACCTCATAACTGGTAGCTAATACCGCAAATATTGGACATTTGTAAACGAAACAGGTTTGGAGCAGTGCCTTTGGAGGATCTACACTATTATGACACCTTATCAAAATGTGCAGAATATCACTCTCAAAATCCAATGTTTCACCATCAAACAGATCGGAACTGGTACTAGAACTTCCTGTACTCCCATACGAGCTTGCACTTGAATACATACTATCCGAAGATGCATCGACATTTTTCCGTACGCCGATACGCGATAAATAGAAGTTTCTCGAATCACGCATCAACAGCTCCTTCTGAGAGTCGATTTGGATCTCGTTCGACAAACCGTGGTACAAATGCTGCGCCAGAAACACACTTCGAAACTCTTGAAACAATTTCTGCACCTGCGCGAGCGGGTAATTGTAAGTTTGAATAAAAATCAAGAACGGAAACCAAAAATCGCCGCGGGCGCAGTATTTCAAAAACAGCTCGGGCAGCTTAAAGCTGTGCAGCTCGGCGAGCTTAACGACAATTTCGTGCTTCTTAATCTCCTCCGCCAACTCTGCGTTGGAAGAATTGGCGCTCAAAGAGCAGCTAAGCATTAAAATGCTCTCCAAAACGTCGAGCACACGTTCCGGATTTTGAAAGATGCCCATAAACAATTTTTGAATGTGGTTCGGTGAAAATTGTCTCGAGTCTAACAGCAGCTTTGCCACTTGCACGTAGATTCGTAAACTCGAGGAATTTTCGCCGATCATTTCTAAGAATGCGATACAACTGACTGCGAGCTCGGTGTTGGTAATGTCGTTAAAGTACACTTTGAGTATTTTTCGGTTAATGCCAAGTTTGTTTAAGGACCGGTTGGAATTGGCGAGGTAAAATTTACTTGCAAAACTTGGTCTGCCTAATTTTATAAAGAAAATGTAATTAGTCTTTTTCTTGTAGGCATACAGCTGAAGGGATGGGGAATTAAAGCTAGGGGGAGGGGCGTTTTCTAGTCGAAATTTGTAAATATCAGTGCTAACTGTGGTGTGTTTATTCAGTAGTTGATACAAGTTTGCTACGCTTACTGGCGACTTTGTGAGGACTGTATGCAGCATAGGTAATTTCTGCAGGGAACTTTCAACAATTGATGGTGTCAATCCATATCTGTCAATGCAAGAAAGTAAGTTCAGAAAATTAAATTCGGGAAGCAAGAAGAATATAACTCCAAGCATAATAAGGGGATTTTCTTTGAAGTATTCTGCCAAATCGTCGGATAAAAAATTAGCTACTTTCAAGATAAGTTGGCCAACCCCAGTTTCACTCGTAAAATAATCGCAGTTTTTTAAGTAGGACAACAAATCCAAATACTTAGAGCTTACATTAGAAACTAGTCTTAAGTCTACATTGCACCAATTCACAAGTAAGAATAATTCGTTTTTAATACAGTAATCCAGCAGAAGTGAATGAAAATTTGTCAAAGTAACTGTAGACTGCTCACAGTTTAGAATTGCATAAATAGAATCAAGAGTTTCTGCGTGATTAAGGCGTCGTATTATTGCTGTTATCGATTTTCTCTCTTCAGAACTAAACAGTCCAAATTTACTCAACTCATTGAGCACACCATCTCGAAGCTCCTCAGAAACATTTCCTTGGAACATACAATCGACCATCTCTTCACTTATGGTAAAACTTAACATCATACTACTGACACATTCATACTTTTCTGCAGGTACAACGTTGCAATGAAACTCGGTCGACTGGGAGAAATAAACATTTATCCATAACTTTAAAATTTCTAAATTGCAGTCTTTTAAGAGAAATTCCCAGGCATGCTTAGCAGTCACAAACGGTTTAATATTATCATCTAAAAAAGGGCGAATGTAACAGTACACAATTTATAAACTTATGGCGTGTTCGCACCTCCAGATGCAGTATGGTGCTAATGGACATGCTTGCCAAACTTACTAACAAACTTGACTTTGACAACACAAGAGGAGTTTCCGAATATTCAACCGGTTTAATCGGGTTGGTAGATATAGCTAATTGCTATAGAACTTGTGTACTGTTTTAATATGTCAATTCAATCATGTGTCAGTTTGGCATCATTGCAGTGAGCAACAAGGATAGCCTTTATTGAAGAATGACGCAAATTAGTAAGAGGGGAGTTTAGTCCATTAAAACCAGTACTGCATCTGGTGCGAACATAGTATAGTTATCTGACAGTATTAGAAACAAAACATACCAAACGATTTAAAAAAAAGCTGTGTACCAATTTTGCATTTCCAATCATACGCTTGACCATTAAAATAATTAATATTCAGTTCGGATACATTATACGGAAAATCCAGCAAAAACTCCTGTTTATCCATTACAATTTGTAGTAGTTTCCAAGTGTCCATATCGGTGGACGATAGTCTTTCCGATTTGGACAGATGATTTCCTAAATAATCGCGAAGCGTTGGATTACATGTTTCAAGAAATATCTTTGTAAATTCTTCGATTGGATCCAAATTAATGTTAGTAAATAAATGGGAGGCTTTGAAAATTTGTTGCCGCTTTAATAATTCCAAGATCCATACGAATACCTACCAATGAAATGATTTACTTAGTATGTGACAATGGGGGATAGGTATACTTCGTCCTTAAACCATTGTTGGATTGTGTCATTATCTAACTCATTGCGTGCCGCGAGAAAGTTCTGGGCAAATTCGATATGATGGCCTTTAACAGCAGCCTCGCGAACAACTTCGCGGTCCCCCATTCGGCACCAAGCATTCCATACTCCCAGTAATTCCTTGTTCAAGTTGGGGGGCGGTGGTGGTTTAATCTGTTGCAAAAAATGTTCTTAATGGAGCATGCACATTTATAACTTGCCTGAAATATGTTCTCTCTTTTTGCCATTTTTGTCTTAATTTAATTCCTAATGCTAAATAATATTCTGAAATCATATAAATTGTAATACGCAAGAAGCTTTCTAATTAATTCCATGAATCACGTTTATTTACTTTCGATTGTAATCAAATAATAGCGAAGTAAGGTGAATATAAATTTGATACATAGCTAACTTCACATTGAACTGTAGTGGTACAGACCAATACAGGGTACTTCAAAATAAATTTAAGGCAATTCCAAACCATTATGAGCCTGTAAAAGACAAAACTATGTTTTAAACCAGAGAATAATTAACTCTGTCAATAGGTAGGTAACATACGAGTGACGAGTATATAATGGCATATACACTAATATTAATACTACTTTGGCTACAAGGGTCCTGGGTTCGAATCCCAGGTAAGGCATGGCTGTTTGTGATTGTATAGTCAATAGTGGGTTGAGGGGGAAGAATAGCAAATTGCTAACACTCCGCCCACTATAAAATAAAGGCAATAAAATAAAAATAAAAAAAATAATGGTATGTAGACTGGTTCACTTTTATAAAAAGCAGCGTTTTAACAGGTTCTAGGGGCACTTCAGATAACATTTGGCCAAATAGGCGTTTTTTTTTACTAATTTGGACCTGCTGAACACGAATATCGATGTTGGCATCTCGAAATCTGAACAGGAAGTTCAGAATTCAAGATGGCGGCCAATTTCCGACAATGTTGATCTTTTCACTCTTGCGACCGATTTTTTCGATCTAAAAACGGATTATAATGTTATTCCTGACGGAGGTACGGCACGATAATAGGGAACAAATGTTTAAACAATGATTCCATAGTTTTTCTAACGTCAAAGTGCGTAAAAGTGGAAACCTTTTTTTCATAGTACCTATTGTATGGCTACTGTTTAAATTTGTTCACATCACATTATTTCTGTTTTGGCAAGCATTTTGGTTCCTGTGCGTCGTGTGATAGATATCCGCGATGTTCCATTATCTCACATATGGAAGAAGTTCCTTTCATTAGAGGAAAACAAAAGAAACGAGTTATTGTCGCATCACCTTGAAGACGCCTCATTTGACGGCGTATTAGGTGATTGCTGGAAGCTTCAGTGACGAAAGAAAAGTTTTCTGTAACCGTCAGACGACACAGATTTCCTCCTTAGAAGCTTTTCACAAGGAAGCGGATACTAGGATAACGCTACGGATATAACAGATGTATTTCTGTTGCTTCTTCATCACGTCGAAAAAATACTGGCAAACGAAGTTTGCTTGCTGACCGGTACTTCAAGAAAGATATGTATTTGTTCCTATCCATAATGATGTGCAGAGGAACTGGCCAAAAGCAGTAGTAACGATAATATCCTGTCCTTTTACGCTATCACAGGAAGTGATGTCACGTCATTTGCTGTTGTGAATTTCCACGCTTGGATGCATTTATTTTTATTTATTTATTTATTTTTGACCTTTATTTTTAAGCAGGGTGGGTTTCAGGCAAGGCTGGTCTACCAACCCAACCCACTAGACATTTACAAATATCTATATCCGAACCTGGATGTGAACCAGAGAGTGTTTCAAAAGCGCTCTTCTTTACTGTTCACGCAGGGTACCATACTCCTCAGCAAGAAGGTATATCTTTTGCAAAAATCTTCGTGACAAAATTATACAAGGGTGGTATCATAACTAGGTACATGAAACTTCACATGTTCAGAGTATCGACTTGGCTCGCATCTTTTAGGTGGCGTCTTTTCTTCTCTTTAGGTAGCCGATACCATAGCTTCCACCGACACGGTGCGCGTCCCGCTTAGTTCAGTAGGGAGAAGTCGCTACCAGACGTCCGTTTGGAAGAATGCGCACGCCCCTTGCCCCATCTCGGTTAATCAAGTAGGACTTCCCAGAGTGGAGAAGCATTGTCAGGTTTCAGGAGCTGCGAAGCTTTAGATCTAACAATTCTGAACTCCATTCTCTTGGGATTCCATCTAATCTTCTCTAGCATTTCATCCATTTCCATAATTACGGCATATCAGGTGTAAATCTGAAGAGGTAGTTCTTTGACCTTAAACTCTGAAATGTCGCCCAGGCATATCTAGCCTTGATTTCCTGGGGAAAGAATTGAAAATGGCTACATCCCCATTCTCACAACGTTAGATTAATTCCGAAGGCTGCTCTAGATATCGTCCTTTGTGGTTGTAAATAGGAGAGCTCGTCAAAACTTTGTTGATTTGTACTAGAGGTACCTAATTCTCAAGAAGACAAGTGACCTAACACCATGAAAATAAGATAAATTTGCCTTCATTTTTCTATATGCTTTCATACTTTAATAATAATAATATATCCTGAGTAACGGTAATTATAATACCTAGCAAAATAAGAATCTTCCGAAACACCGGCAGTTTAGTTGAACTCCTTCATTTTTTTCATTTGAAAATTAACGTAAAATTCGAAACATTGTAGTTATCAAAACTTTATAAAGAGAATTATGCAATATAAACGCATGTCGGGAAACTTATATCGGGATTACTAGAAACAATCGTTTTGCAAGTCCTCCTTTTGGCAAGGAGAGCTAGGAATTTCTTAATTTAATTTTACGCATTCTGCCGCTAAAAAAAACTATTACATTATTGTTAAAACAATAGTTAACTGTTATTATCGTGACGTACGTCAGGAATAACATTATAATTAGTTTTTAGATCGAAAAAATCGGTCGCATGAGTGAAATCAACATTTTCGGAAATTGGCCGCCATCTTGAATTCTGGACTTCCTGTTCAGATTTCGAGGTGCCAACATCGATATTCGTGTTCAGCAGGTACCAATTAGTAAAAAAAGCCTTGTTGGTCAAATGTTGTCTGAAATGCTCCTAGGACAGAGAAACTTCGAAAAGTGAACCAGTCTAATGGAGATTCAAACCACGTGATCAGTGTGTAATAAAAAAGTCACATAGCCAAAAATTTTGAATGAAGTGGTCAAAATTGAGATTTGCTGCAAATTATCATGACTTCCAACGGTCGCAAAATTAACTACTGCATCTGTAGAAAAAGTCATACAAGGTACAAATTTTACAATTAGAATGGGGCAAAGATTATCGGAGAATGGATTTCTACAAATACTAGAATTGATAAAAATTTAAATTTTTTCAAAAACAGCTGCTTCGGCGAGAAGTGTACAGGGTGGTCCAAATTGGACTGCACCTTCTTATGGTAACACCCTTAATTTTAAGAGTTAGAAAAAATGGACCTAGGCGTCTGATGGAGCTCAATATTAAAGAAAAAAATCACTGGGGCCTCGTTTGGCCGCCATGGAGCGTTGTGTTTAGTCTTTACAATGCTCCGTAACTTTTCTTTTTGTGAAAGTAGAATCCATTGCGATACACAAGTTTTTTTTACAGTGTTTGGTTTTTTTAAGACCATCTAAATTTAATTTTGTGGGAATTTCTTAATTATTGCAATGTGTCACTGGCTATGGGCGAGAATCTAAATGATCGTTTTTTTACAATTTTTGTTTTATCAAAATTACAATAGTAATATGAGTGAATATTACTAAACTTCAATAATTTTGATTAAATTTTTTATGGCCCTTTGAACCCGTCAACTGTACAATAGGAATGGTTCTATAGAAGTTTTTGGAATGTGAAAGTTATTCTAAAGTAATCGTAATAAAGTAAATTAATTTAAAAATTTTAATTTATTGTTAAAATCATACCAGTTATATAAAATAGAAATGAATCAAAATTGCCGTTTCTTATGTAGTGTGTTAACAAAATCTTTTTCTATACACGCTCTAAGCAAGTTTTTGCATAAATAAATGGTAAAAAAAAGTTAAGCTGCCGGCATATGTACGAAAAGAACATTCACTACATAGCTATTAGTACATATATACCCGTCATTATGTGATTGGTTTTTATAATTATATAATATCTATAATTTATCTTGAATTTATATAACAATCATACATTTCATTTACTATTATACTACTGTTATACTTTTAATAATTTTATCAGTTTTGCGCAGGTTTAGCGCATAAATAAGGTACAATTAGTGGTAACTTAGTGTAAAACGTTTTAAGGTAGGTTAACATCTAATTTAAAATGTGAAATTATCAAAAACTGTAAATGACTATAATATATCGAGATCGTTTTCTAAACAAGGTTTCATGTGGAAAATGCAACAATTAACTAACAGAAGCACTGCTAAACGTAAATAAGTACACGAATATTATAAAAACACCCTGTTGTGGCAAAGTGTTTTATCACAAATTATGTATAAATAAAGCCTCTTCGGTTGTTAATAACAAGTAGTAATTAAAAAAGCAGTAGAAATAAATTACACATAACATGCAGGTACAAAAAGTTATAATTAAAATAAATATTATAAATAGCCTCTCTTAAAATGAAGACTAAATACTTAGAAATACTAGTTCCTTCTGTAAACATTAAATGCATTTGATTGGTCTCTTACCTGTACTGTACAGGATAACTTACGAAAACTAAAACGTCATGAGGTTAACATGGCAAGTATCATCTTACTTAAAATTGTACTATTTGTATATCTAATAAGCACCGATTAACATTCAATTTTTCCAAATAAATATAAATATTATTGCGAATCATGGTCACTTGCAACCGAAGTTTATAAAAAGAATTTCTGCCGCAATATTTTGCTACTACCTACTGAACACATAAATAAATTAGCAAACAAAAAACACGCACAAGAATTTTCTTATACTTTGTACCACCTTGCATTTCTAAGAGTAACTCGTGTGTCTCTTCCGTCGAAAGACCAATGCAAAGATACTTCGTAGCCTCCACCACTTACTATGTCTGTGAGGCTTACGCTCGCCGCAGCTAGGCAGCCCCAATTTTTTCCTTTCTTTCGACCTTATCTCTCTCACTAGCGTATGAAAGGCGTCGTCTACGTACGTACGTAAAGCTGCGGAGGTCTCGTAAAATGGGCAACCGAATTGTCTAGCTAACGTCTTCCCCTCTTCGGCTGTAACCTTACGTTGCATTTGAAGATCAAATTTATTACCTATTAAAACTAAGGGCGTATCTTCGGATGCTCTCACTTTTTGAATTAGCTTTCTGTACTCCAACGCCTCTTGGAAACTATGACGATCTGTAACACTGTAACAAATGAGAAATCCCTCACCGCATCGCATGTATTGATCGCGCATTGCCGTGAATTCCACCTAGAATGAATTAAGGCTTAGGCTCTTATTTTTAGAGGAGGTATGCACCTGTCCCGCAGTGTCCAGAATGTCCAATAAGGCAGGCTCTCCATCTATAACCGCTTGTTGCTGATATGAATCTTCTACAAGTGCAAACGTCGCTTAACTTTCACATTACGAGCTAACTTACCAATTGTCGGGTCGTGGTAGTCTAAAAAGCTGTGGCTCACAAACTGTAGTGTGACGGCTACAAGTTAATATATTAAACATTGTATATTAAAGGAGTGAAAGGAAATAAGACCTGATTTCCCTACACCACCGTCTCCTAAAACCACAATCTTGTACACCCTAACACCGCCCCTTGTATTTAAATCAGAATTGATGGCAGCGTTTGGCTTGTCAGTTTCTACATCGGATTCCTTTTTATGTGACTCTTGCCTGTACAATTTGCCCCTTTTTCTACTACACCCAGATGTAGGTGTTACCTCTCCTGCCATTTTAAATATCAACTACAAATAGAGATAAAAACGGTGATACACCGTGTTGATTTTTAGTTCTGTATTTATTTCCATAAATACTACATTTTTTTTACAAAATTTGATTCATTTCTTGCAAACCTCTCCTGGAGGTTCTTCACATTTGACATTTAGATTGGTTCACAACATTTCGTTCACAGGTGACGACAATAGTGGCGACATCCAACGAGAACATGCTGTACTATCAATTTTATATACAGAGTGGAGGAAATTACATGTAGAAGTAGAAATTATTGCAATTAAAATGTTAAGGCCGTTACATTGTATCTGAAAGAGGGCAAAATGAAGAGGATTTATTGTTGCTTGGAGTTACTTACTGCATAATTTTAAAAAACCGTCTCCTGGGTGGCGCAGTTCAGTTAAAGCTGAACTGTGGTGCTAAGGGTTCGAATCCAGGTTCGGGCATGGATATTTGGAAATGTATAGTGGCTTGGGTTGGTACTCAAAAATAAAAGCAAAAATAAAATAATAAAATAAAAATAAAAACAAAAACACATTTGCCTGATGCTTCAACAGGCGACTTGTCGCATTTTTGGATATGCATTTTTGATTTTTCCATATGAAAGTATGCGTTTTTTAAGGCAAAAACACATTCCCCCGATGCTACACCACGTACGTGACGTGACGCATCAGATTGTACAATGTGCATATTTTTCTGATGCCACGCCACGATACCCAAAGCACTTAAAGTTCAGCAACAAAATAGACCCCCAGCGCAATAGAATTATATTGCAATGATTTGTCATCAGACGAATTAAACAAGAAATGGAAGAGATTGCATCGGCAGTGGTGGTTCCCAAAAAGAGGAGAAAGTGTAGGAAATTGTGGGTCCACCAGATTAACCGTGTGCGAGAGGAGTTCAGTAAATACAGTATATCTTGATTTACCTTCTGGAGACAGAAGAATGTTTTCATCCGATTCCAGATGTATTTTCGGATGAATAAAACTGATTTCGAATATGTTCATAGTTTGCTAGAAGCATACTAATTTTCGAAAACCTATATAAGTTCCAAAGAGCGTCTAGCAATGTGCTTACGGTAAGTATCGTTTATCTATTTACTTGCAAATAAATGTATTATACCTACTCTCTGTATTTATTATGAACTTAAATACCTAAACCGATAAATATAACAGTTTTAAAATATCAGTTATTCAAGAGGTAGGAAAAAGTACAAAACATTCGAATGAGTCCTTGCAGCTCTTCCGACAATCCGTTCTTGAGGTATAGAGGAATATACCCGATCACGATAAAAGGTCGAGGAGGAGGGCTATGGTTGGTAGAAATTAATTCCATTCGTTGAGACCTTTCATTAGAGTACCATGAAGGATAAAACTAGTTCTACTCCCACCCCCCCCCCCTTCCCTCTTACCCGTACTTTGATAAGAGGACAAAAAGAAGGGCAGTAGTTGGTAAAAAACGGTTCCTTTCGTTGAGACCTTTAATTAGAATACAATGAGAGATAAAATTATTGTTTAATGTACAAACCAATTTATTTTGATGAAACCTTTCATTAGAATACCATGAAGGGTAGAACATGTATTTACCCCCCCCCCCCCCCCCTATATCTAAAGCTTAACTTGGCACCACTAAAGGCATGTGTATGCAAAATATGAGACCAATTGGTTGTCGTATGTAAAGTTATGCACGTTTGACTTTCAAAAACAGCATCTCAGGAAATAATTTGTAATTTGTGGTGGAGGCCCCCTTTTAGACAGCGAAATTTGATGGCCGTCTGGCACGCCTTTAAGGTATAGGCTACCTACTGCAAAAAATTCCAGGACTCTAGAACCATTCCCCTAGAAGCAGTTGAAAACAACACAAGTGGGTCCGGACGGACGGACAAAACGCAAACAATAGCACATTAATTTTAATTCTTAAAAAATGCGCTAAAAAATCTACCACAAACGGTGAAGAATATTCCTTTGGCACTTAATTTTCATAGGTTTGCCGTAAAGCTCTACTACCGAAAGTTTTCAAACTGATGAGGGTCCATCCAGAACTCTTAACACTTTCCAAGAAAAGTTTGATTTCGCAAAAGTAAAAACCTCATGGTGCAGATTTTACTTCTGACTAGAGTTCCAGAGGTTTGAAACTTTCTCTAAGTAATAATTTTAATTCTTAAAAACTGCGCTAAAAAATGTGCTTTTGCGTTTTGTCCGTCCGTCCGTCCGGACCCACTTCATTTCGAACTTCTAACTTCTAGGGGTTCCTAGAGTCCTGGAATTTTTTGCAGTAGGTAGCCTATACCTTGAAGGTGTGCCAGATGGCCATCAAATTTCGCTGTCTAAACGCCCCCCCTCCCCCCACGAATTATTTCCTGATATGCTGTTTTTGAAAGTAAAACGTGCATAACACATACGACAACCAATTGGTTTCAGATTTTGCATACGCATGCCTTCAGTGGTGCAAGGTTAAACTTTAGAAAATGAGGGGGGGAGGGTAAACACGTGTCCTACCCTACATGGTACTCTAATGAAAGCTCTCATCGAAATAAATTGGTTTGTACAAACTATAACTTTTCCCGTGGGACTCTGGACTCTTTTTCGAGATCAGTGAGCGACGGGGTCTGAGGAGGAGGGGGGGGGCATAAAATTAATGTTATCTCTCATTGTATTCTAATTAAAGGTCTCAACGAAAGGAACCGTTTTCTACCAACTACTGCCCTTCTTTCTGTCCTCTTATCAAAGTACGGGGCGAAGGGGGAGGGGGTGGGGGAGTGGAACTAGTTTTATCCTTCATGGTACTCTAATGAAAGGTCTCAACGAAAGGAATTAATTTCTACCAACCATAGCCCTCCTCCTCGACCTCTTATCGTAATCGGGTATATTCCCTTATACCTCAAGAATGGATTGTCGGAAGAGGGTACTCAGAAACTCCGATTGAGACGTCTGCAAGAAATATATCCATTGGTTATGTCAATACAAAAGCTATTTCGGTTAAAAAAATGCGCTTTATCTGCACAAGAATTGTGCACAATTTATAATTGTCTTTCTTGTACTTAGGTACTTATAACTACTTGCAATAGTTTTCGATCCATAGCGTTTAGCTATAGCATGGCGTTTAGCACAGTACCTACGTGGAATTGTTCAAGGCGTATCCAAAGCAGTTTGGGAAATATTAGGACCACTTGTGCTGCCGCTGCCCTAACCATCAGAAAAAATTTCAACCAAGTTGCGGCACGGCATAAAGACATATGGAATGTCCCCAATTGCATTGGGGCTCTTGGTAGGAAACACATAAACGTACGCTGTCCCATCAACGGACGTTCGTTTTATAATTACAAAGGCAGCCTTTCGATTGTATTGCTAGCAACGCGAACTATAAATTTATTTGTGTTGATGTTGGATCATATTGAAGAAATAGTGATGGGGCTATTATTCGTTAGGAGTTCCAGCAGTGTGGGGCCCCCTTACGACGGGTATGCCCCCTAAAACTCACCTAGGCGTTGGATACTACGGCCATTAACCTGTAACTTGGAGTAGGAATTTTAAATTTAACTTTATAATTGAAATGTAACAAAAAAGTATAGACAGGTCACAGTGGCGTATCCAGAAATTTTGTTCGGGGGGGGGGGGGGGCTCGAACTTTTAAATACATAAAACAACTTTTAGGTAAGCGTAACCCAAACTGTTAAAATATGTCTTTTTAAATACCCACTCTTTTTTTCCCGTTCTTGCATATCCTTTCCTTGTTGGCAGAAAATATTAAGATGATTGGCAACCTTTCGGGGGGGGGGGCTGCAGCCCCTTCAGCCCCCCCTCTGAATACGCGTCTGACAGGTCACGTCATGTCCAAACGAACATATAGACATTAATATTTCAATAAAAGTTCACTATCACAATTAGTTAATAATTCCGACGCTCTGTAAAAATCCTACCACTCTTTGACATCGATCATTGTTTTAAAAATTAGTCTCTCATATCGTAGCAGAAACATTCGCCAGTAGTGTTGCTGAGGTCCGCCGAAAGCAATGTCCTGTATAAAGGTGGACATCTTTCAATTTCAAGTAGTTTCAAGTAGATACTGGTTGAACTGAACTGAAAAATTATAAATTAATTATTTAACAGCGAAAATATGCAGCATTACCTCCAAAGGCTCTTGGGAATGGAAGACTTTTCTTAAATTATCGATCATGTACATTTCCCTGAACGATACTTTAAGAAAAATCTTCCATTCCCAAGAGCTTTTGGACATAATGCTGCATATTTTCGATATATGGTTAAACAATTAATGTTTAATTTTTCGTTTTGTTGTTGTTTTTACGATTTACTAGCTCGTCACACTTACATCAGGCGTCCATAACTCCCATCACAATAACCATCTTCATTAGCAAGTATGTAAATCTCGTCAGGAGCTTCATTAAAAAACTTGTGCATTGATCTTTGGTCAAATGTCTTCGCTTTTTTAGGTTGATAACCCTTAGAATTACTTTTTAGAACCGCGAACAAGGTTTTTTAAACCTAAAACACTCCATATGATTTCAACCAGTAAATTAATTATGAACATCAAACTTACTTGCTTATATGTCCACTTTCCAAAAATGTAATTTGAGTATCGAAAATATGTAGGAAAATATACAGATCGTAAAGAAGGGGAAGCGTATTTTTTTTATCAATCTACATGATTTTGACTTTCCAGTTACTAGGCTGAAATTGACCTGAAAGTCTAGCAACCTGAATTATTACAGGAGGATATTTACGAAAATCTGAGTCTCTGAGTAATACCATAGAGGAAGTATTTACTCTATGGTAATGCGCAAAAAATACCCAAAATTTAGATCATCAAGATTTTTGTAATTTAATGTGTAAGATACCAAAAAAGTAAGAGTGGAGTACGAAGAACATTATACATATTTCATATTTACTTACATTAATACCAAGATTCGGATCGAACGATAGAGGCAAGCAATTGATATTAGCTGTTACAGACCACTGTCTCATTAAAATGTATGCATCTAGTTGCTATACTATATACATACAAATCGTGTATATCAAAAGTATAGTCACGTCTCACGATAACTCCCACAGTAGAATATGTATCCTTCAAAGTGGCAAACGGCAGTATTACATTTTCAATCGGCGAGATTCTGAAAGTTAGAAACCCAAAACTTTTTGATGTGTTTACTTATTCCTTGTGCATTACAGATCGA